ATTATGATTCCTACTCTTCAATGTTTACTTGTTTCTGTTAATTTTAGTTAAACCATTGAGCAATGTGTAATTTCAAAATGAATTCATATGCAAAGGAAGCAGTTTTTCCATGGGGGTCCTTTTTTAAACCCTACAATCCGGAATACGAAATTGAAATTGTTTCTTAGTAGTTCAGTCTCTACGGAAGCAATATTATCGAATGTTTCTAGCGTTATTGGAGTCGAGTAAGCATAAGAAGAATGATCATTCACAAAAAAGTATCCTCACAAGAAAATTGGCCTCCTCAAATACTTCGAAGGTGGTTGGCACGTCCCGTACCCCCGACATTCCCAACTAAGAGACAACTTTTTCTGGTTTTTTCCTAATCATATGAAAGTCCAAGTGCAGCCAACATCGGCCGCGACCTGGTGAATATTACGGATGATGTCCCAACAAGAAGCCATTGTTGGGCTTCAAGAGCAGGATGGCCCAACTGGCTTCCGCACACTAACGGCTAACATGGACCGAAGGCGAGAGGTGAAACTTTGTCCTCAGCGACGAATGAGATTTCTATCTTCCTAGAAATAATGTTGTGGACCCTGTGAAGTGTTTTGTCAAATGGGAACCTCATTTTGAGTATAGATTCCAACAGTCAGAAATAGTGGAAGTATTGTCATGGATGAAGATGTGTCCGACCATTCGGCGATTCCCCAGTTCTAGTATCCAGCGAAATGTGGGTTGGGCTAAGTACAAGGATAGTCTGTAGAATACAATGCTTCCCTTCGATAGTCAGAACTAGCCGGAAAAGATGGGTTTTCTATCGCGGAAATGACCCAATGCAGGCCTACCTCCTCACTGCCGCCTTCCTAAACCCAGAAAAAGAAGCTGTTATGAAGCGACCAAGTCAAGATCTAAAGTCTAATTGAGTTCTACATCCCACGGAAGAACTGGCATGTCGCTCAACCCACATTCCAGTTAAGAATCCCACCAAACAATGTGCTTTAGTTCACAATGGAATCCTAAAAAAGTTATCTAAAGCCGAAATTGTAGTAGGTCAATGTTGAGCTGAACATTCGGCGGTCTCCCACGGGACTGATGCACCACACCTCTTGGGAACCAGGTGAATTTGACACAACACCAATGTCTCTCCAGCATACCGATGAGATGCTCTAGAAACACCAACTTCGTCAACCGAGAGAAATGAAACAACCCTCCTTCATGGTGGCGCTCAGCCACATGTCCCATAAACGACCTCGCAAAGATTGGACAAACTGGCATACGAAGCTTTGCTCAACACGTCGT